GACAGAGGAAGTCAATGCATAATCGGCTGTCCATAGACATATACTGCAACGTCCTATCAGTCAGATCAGCTGTGTCATTGTTGCAGCAAATGGGTGAGATGCATCGGATGAACTCATTGTCTCTGAATCAGACCGTTGTCCACTTTCTGTCCTTCATTCATTGTCTTGGCGTCTGCACTGTAGATTCTGTCCTGTGTCTCATAGCATGTGTATGTCCTGGAATGACTGGTCACTGGGTCTTAAAGTTGAGCAGATGTCCCAGCAAAGACAAGCCACCTGTAGGAGATAATGGTGGGGCAGTGGATGGCCAGTCATTTGCTGGTTAAGTGTGACAAATGTTACAAATTAGTTATCAAACATCCTGATAGAAATACATTTTTAAAACTAGTTAGTGGCAACATGATTCAGATGACTGGATATATAAAAAAAAATGCAGCTTATGATATAAATGCTGTTATATTTTTAATAAAGTTGAATTTAGTCAAATTAAACTAAGAGATTCTTACCTGATTTGTTAGACGAACATTTCATCCATGTTTTACAGGCATACAGCAGATAATTTGATTTGAACATATACAAATTTGTTTTCTGCATGTGTTTCTATGACGACAGACTCGAAAAGCATCAGTTCTCTCAGAATGCTTTGGACTTTTACTGCATACTGATGACTAAAGGCAACTGAAGAGAACTGAATTAATTATATAATTAATTACATACATTATAAAATGGGTGTTCTATCTATTGCCAGTACCAAAAGGAATTCAGCAGAAATCAAATAGGTAGGCTGTGAAATCTATAGAAAATAATAATTGTAAGAAATAATGTAACATTTTTGCCCAATGAACATGTAGCTTTGTAGGACAATAAAAATTTTTTTTTGTTTGTTTTTTTTTACGCTGCAAATGCTGTATAAAAATTTGCATAAATTAAATTTGTGATACTACTGTGATGTATAAATGTGTTAGCATTTATATATATACACATATTATGTTCATAGAATTCATATCCATCTTCAAGAATCAGCTAAAAACGCATCTCTTCCATCTTTATTTGATCCTCTAACTCTAGCACTCTCTATTCTAATTCTATTCTTAAAAAAAAAAAACTTGCCCCTTTTAGACTTGCACTCTATTCATTTACTAACTGCTTGTTTTCTTAAAAAAGCTTCTCTATTCTTTTTGTATTCTATTTGTTTTCTTTTTATTTATTATACAATTAACAAAAAGCAAAAAAAAGGCCTCTAACACTAGCTTGCTTTATTCTTTTTCTATAATATCTTTCTTTTTATTATATAATAAAAAAAAAACTTGCTATACGTGTACTGCGTTAAGCTAACTGAGACTTGTTATAGCACTTGCATATCATTGCTCTTTTGTTGATTTTGATTGCTTCCATTGTCCTCATTTGTAAGTCGCTTTGGATAAAAGAGTCTGCTAAATGACTAAATGTAAATGTCATCAACCAATGAGAGGTCAAAGAGGAAATGAGAACAGTGTGAACTTTTATAATACAGAATATCTGTTGGCTATGCTTGTGTTCCAAGGCTCAACATGACAAATCTGGATATTATATAATAAGCTTCATATATATATATATATATATATATATATATATATATATATATATGACTTCTATTTTAAATCACAAGAAATATTGTTTCCTTTAAACAAAATAAAAAATATTAAGGTAACAACTTTAATTTAGGGACCAATTCCCACTATTAACTAGGTGCTTATTAGCATGCATATTACGAGCATATTGGCTGTTTATTAGTACCTTATGGTACATGACCACATTTTAGACCCCTTAATCCAACCCCATACCTAACATTAACATTAAGAGTTTATAGAGGCAAAAGTAGTATAGTTAGTTAATAGTGAGAATTGGTCCTCAAACTAAAGTGTGTATATATATTAAGTATTTTTGCCTTAAATAATAATTGGGGAGGGTGTGGGGTGGCTACATTTTCTGTAAGCAAAATATAAGTTTTTTATATTTACATTTATTTAATTTTATTTTTTTCAGGTCAAAACATGACAAGCATCCATACTTGCAAGCATCATGATGTTTACTTTAATTTTTTTAAATGGTCATTTAGTCTGTTTCTGCATTACTTGGAGGCAAAATATCAAAATCATCTGTTCTACCAAAACAGCCTTGGTCGTGGTTGTCCTTACATCTATGTAATAATAATACAGCCACTTAGTGGCGCTGCAACTTAATTTAACATGCAATGCATATTTTCACCACACATGCACACACACAGTTCTGTTTAATTATTACAAATGCACATGATGCACATGCAGATGAATAGAGTATTTACGTATTAAAACCATTAAGATTATAAATACCAATAAAACACATCAAAAACATGCACTATATATATCGAGCACCCAGATAAAGAACAGGCTGCAAAGAGTAGTGATTCTTCTGTATTACAGTGACCTCTTTTCAAATAGCCAGCAGCGTGATTTGTACTGGTTGGGAATTGGGGGTTGAGTGAGGGGAGTGTGTCTTTTACTGATTTTATCTTGGACACCATGTGGTCCACTGATAACATCTCTAGCAAATCAGAGCCCAAGAAATGAGCCTAGCCTTGCCTTTAATGTGTCACTGCTGTAGAGCGCTGACTCTCTGACGGATCACAGGTCTCAAGCTGGAAGAAATGCAGCAGAAACAGCTTGTTCTACCTCAATGACTGATTTAACAAGTCACATCTGCTCTGTTGTAATGATGGGCCTCACAACTCTCAATGTAGCTTCATATAGCTGTTTTGATACACATACAACACCAATTAATCAAAAAAAAAAAAGACAGAATCACACTCTGAATCACTATATATGTGTGTGTGTGTGTGTGTGTGTGTGTTTGGTTGCCATTAACTTAAAGGGGTCATATGATGTTGCTAAAAAGAACATTATTTTGTGTATTTGGTGTAATGAAATGTGTTTGTGCGGTTTAAGGTTCAAAAAACACATTATTTTCCACATACTGTACATTATTGTTTCTCCTCTATGCCCCGCCTTTCTGAAACGCGTCGATTTTTACAAAGCTCATCGGTTTGAAAAGCGAGGTGTGCTCTGATTGGCCAGCTATCCAGTGCGTTGTGATTGGCCGAATACCTCAAGCGTGAGACGGAAATGTTACGCCCCTCACCATACTGTGATGATGCCCTGTCCGGCCAGAGCGACGAGACAAAAACATTAAAACCCATTATAAACGAGGCATTTGTTGCATCCAGTGGGGACATAATTACGGATTATAATGATACTTATACTGTCTTTTTACGCGTTGCATCGCACCGCGTAAACATAAAGCCATGTGTGCATTTGTGATCGAAGAAATGACAAACAACAAGCGCTACTCTACACTGCCCAAAAAACTCGCGTTTGAATCATCAGTGGCAAATTCTTTATATATAAAAAACATACTTACAGTCTGTGAGTCAGAACAGCCGGCATTGTAGTCTACTCTACCAGGATCAGGAAACAGTCCTCCATAAAATGTGCTGCACACATCTGAATATTTGGGTTGAAGTGTTCTGGAACAGTGTTGTAAATACAACTTAACCACTGATTTCTAGCCGTGTTTTGGAAGGCCAAACAAAGTAGTTTCGCTTTCACAACGAAACACAGCATCACACATGGCGGCCTAAAGTGAGTGGCGGCCGGCGGGTTTGCGGCAACCACATGTGACGACCCCGGGCTGGACTCCGCTTCGTCCACGGTGAAAGCCGATCCACAGCGTGAAGTTGATGTATTTCCTCAGCAACCAGCACGGATCAGCTCCAGGCATGACGAAGCGGATATCGTCCTCTTTTGGAAGGTCAAACAAAGTAGTTTCGCTTTCACAACGAAACACAGCGTCTTCACGACATGGCGGCAGCAACAATACTACAGCGAGAATAAAAGTTATGCCTTCTTTCTTTGTGTGAACATTTGGGTGGCGTTATGCAAATCTTCCCACATCGTGACGTAGACGTGGGGGTGTGTTAGAACGAGCCGTTTTAGGTAGGTGTGGTTGACTCTTAACTTTTATAAAGAATATCTCTTTGGATTTGAGACTTTAGTCTTTGCAACTTTACAGATCTTCTTTATGCACCAAGAGCTTGTAACACTTCAAAGAGAAAGGAAAAATTGAAATCGCATCATATGACCCCTTTAACTGTGAAATAAATAAATAAATAGATGCACAGTGGAAAAGGTCTGTAATAAAGGTCTGTAATATACACTCAAAATTGACAGTAAAGATATTTTGCTACTGTATTTTTAAGAATGAATGAATGAATCAATCAATCAATGAATCAATCGATCAATAAATGGTGGGCTAAAGGTGTGTAATATATACTCAAAAGTGATAGTAAAGATATTTTGTGCTACTGTATTTTTAAAGCACTATTGAAAATAAATAAATAGTGGAAAAGGTCTGTAATAAAGGTCTGTAATATATACACTCGAATTGAGAGTAAAGACATTTTGCTAGTGTATTTTTAAATAAATAATTAATTAATTGGTGGACTAAAGTTGTGTAATATGTATACTGATAGTAAAGTGACTACTGAAAATCAGCTTTACCATCACAAAAATAAATTACATTTTAAAATGTATTAAAATAGAAAACAGTTATTTTCAGAACATATCACATATCTTTTTTACTGTATCAATCAAATCAGTGCAGCCTATTTTGAATAACTATATATAAATCTATTTTTTGCACTCTGAGTAGGTTTCCAACTAAGAAATTCTATTACAGTTGTGCCACACGTGTGAGTTAGAATGAGAAGACCAAAGTTGAAGGCTAAACACAGTATTTCAAAGGAGGCTTCATCATTCCAAGCTAATTAATGTTACCTACTGAAAGAAAATATATGATATAGAGAGAGCAAGATGAAGAGAGACACATGGAAGAGAGCATGAGAGAGTGCGAAAGAGAGGTAGGTGGAGAAAGAAAGGGGGAGGTGGAGATAGAGATTTGAGGGGAGGAGAGATAGAGAACGAGAGGGAAACGGGAGGACAGTTCGCCTCTGCAGCGCTGCAAGGACAGAGTGAACATCTCTGGGAGGCAGACGGACCAAAGCTCTCAACAATCACACGCCCTTCACCATGACAACCACGCCAATCACTGCACTGGACTGACAGCTGTCAATCGACAGGAGAAGATTATCAGGCTCACCTGCTACAGGAGAGATTACAAGCTACAATAAGGGACTTGAGCGGAGTAATTCCAATTTATGGTTGGTTAAAAGTTGCTATCCAGAGGGAAATTGGCAATTTTTGATCCCTCAACTGAACGCCTGCATGCGTTCGTGTGTGTGTGCTTTAGGGGGAGTGTGTACAAGGTTGTCTTGCTGTGCATCAGGGTCACAGTCTTACTGGCTGTCACCCGCCAGTGCAGTGCCACAATAAGCTTCAGTAGAGCCCGTTTTAGTGGGTAGCTCTGTTTATTTAGCATTTTAGTCACGAAAACCATGAGTGAGGGCAAGAAGGAGTTAGAGATGAGGGACAAAGCCATCATGCACCAGCAGAGGAGACTGAAACAGGCCACCCAGTTCACGCACAAGGACTCCGCGGATCTTCTGCCTCTGGATGGGCTGAAGAGGTTGGGAACCTCCAAAGACCTGGTGAGTGGCTCTTTTGTTTAACCATAAAATGGTTGAGGCAGTTAGGAATTTACTGTGAATATGCGAAAGGATGCATGCTTGCAGTTTTACATATATGCAAATTAAGCAGTTTAAAAAAAGTAAGCGGTTTCAAATGTTTCTGCATCCCATCACGCAATGCTGACATGATGCATTATTTAGCGCACCAGGGCCAGGCACGGCAGTGAATGTTTCTGACACATCAGTAGATCCGGTATTCAGCTTCCCCTCCATGCTGCTAGATGAGAGTCACACACTTTCACACACACACACACACACACAGGTTTGTTTTTGTGAAAAGTGGGGACATCCCATAGGCGTAATGGTTTTTATACTGTACAGACCGTATATTCTATTGCCCTACACCAACCCTACACCTAAACCTACCCCTTACAGGAAACTTTCTGCATTTTTAGATTTTCAAAAAACTTAATTCTGTGTGATTTATTAGCTTGTTTACCCGTGGGGACCTCAATTTAGGTCCCCACCGTGACACGAGTCCCCATGAGTCTGTGTGTATTCAGGTTTAAGTCCCCACCAGAATAGAAAAACAGGTACACACATACACACACACACACACACACACGTACACACATGTCATGGTTTATATCATGGTGAGGACCTCCCATTGACTTATTTTGTACTTGAGTCAAGCTAATTATTATAATTACTACTACACCATAACTCTACCTCTTTGAAAATGTTTACATGAAATTAAGTGATTAATTTGTCTCTTTATGAGGATGATGTGAGGTTGCAAACCAAAATTTTGATCCTTCTGAGTGTAACCTGTTTCTAGGTGGACCCTTTGGTCAACTGAGAAGAAACATTTTATTTATGTATATGTTTATTCTAAAAATAATGAAAAAATATATGATAAAATATGTAACTGGTTACAATATATAAATAAGTAATGTTACAGATGTGCTGTTATGAATGTGATTCAGAAATAGGCAGGAGGTTGCAAGGAATCACAACTGTGCTTATACATAGACCAACAACACAACTGTGTGGCATTACTTTTATGTACAGTTCATTAAACAAAAAGTTAATATTGAGTTATTTACATTTACATAATACGTCCACTTCTGTATTTTTGCTCTGTCAATGAAAATTTTGCCAAACAAAGCTGACTGTCGTAAATATCAGTGCTATGTTCCTGAATAAATCATTGTTTCAAACGAATCAATCAGCCTGGTGAATAATTCAATGACTCACTCATAAGGACATTGCTTGATTCTTTCCTAAATGAATCAGTGTACACAAATCAACAACTATGCTTGAAATCTCATACTTTCTGAGGTATTACATTTGATAAAGAACTTTCTTTACGACATGAGAAAAAGTATGTTCTATATATTACTGAGCGGGTGTAGTATGAATAAAATCCAGACATACTAGATCCCCCATGTTGTCATTGCCATGTGACAAGTAAAGTGTCCATTATCAGGCGCACTTCAGAATCTCGCTAGAAGCAGTAGGTCATCTGGGTACTTTTCGCCAATTGTTCTGTGAATACTACACATTTGGTCAAATTATTTTCACATACTGTTTTCGACTACTCTATAGTATACATATTTGGACTCAAGTAAGGATTCATTAAGACGTCACTTATCGCCACCTACTGGTGTAACAATTTACCCTGTAGAAAAAATAATTGACAATGCCCAATGCATATTACTGATTGAGATTGAGGGCTAGAACTAATTGTTATAATAAATAATGTTATCTAGACATTTATTATTGACTTTTGTACTTTTTTCCTTAAAAAAAACTTTTGTTGAGGTTACATAAGCAAGACAGAAAAATAATAATATATGGCCTCTATGAGCTTCTGCGTGGCTATGGAGTTGAAATCTCCGTAACGGTGCACAAATTAATCCTCTCATGAATTAATAAGAGCTGCATATTTCCACAGAAGATTTCTCACAGCTTAAGCTCTCTAGCTTTCCCCCCACATACTTTAAGTCATCTACATCAGAAGCTTAGAGAGAAATATGGGTGGACACACATAATGGTTTACATCATGGCAAGATAATTATAATATCTTACCCCTAATCCTAATACTTAAAAACACCCTTTTCCATGTTAGTCCCTTTTATTAAGTCTCAGCGGCACCACAAAGTCCCCACAATGTAGGCAAGTAAATTTTTACTACCTAACAATGTGCCAATAATAAACCAAGAGCAAATGTTCTGTTCAATTACTAATTTCCTCTCCCTCATTAACAGTCATTGAACTGTACTGGTTCTGTCTCTTCTGTATAATAACTTTCCCGCTGTCATCTCTAGCCACTACTCTGATTAGATGGCACATACCCAAAATCCCAGGGTGCACTCCAAGAAAATCAGTGCGCATGCGTGTGCCTATGATTAGAGAATGCATTTAAATGATCTCCGTGCACAGCAGGGAAGAGCTGAAGCTTGTGTGCACAGCTTACGATGTCAGAGCCTCTAAAAAGTGTGAGCTAAAGATAACCGGCTGTCACAGGCAGTGGAATGGTTTGTCTTAACAAACCAATTTAAATGCTCAATGATTCTCAAGGAACATCATACTCTGTTTTGTGTTACTGTTTGTGCAGCTGTTTTTTAAATCACCATCTGGTTCGCGTAATGTCAAAAAAACAGCAGCAACAACAACGAAACAATTATCTTTCACTGTCTCCTGCCTGCTTTGTGAAGCTGTCATAAGCAATTATTCACTACACTGTAAAATCTAATTAGTTGGGCTTACTTAAAAAAAGCATGCAAACCGATTGCCTTGAAAAAACTAAGTAAAGTGAAATAGGAATAGTATGTTGTACTGACAAATGCTTAGTTAGTATAGTTTACTTACACGAGAGTTCTAGTAACTAAAAAAGAACTGTAGGGGGTACTTGATCCTTTCATTTAGGTTTACTCATGACTTAGTATAGCTACTCACTGACTCCCAGAGTGCATTGCGGCATGAATAAATGATGCAGTTGCTTTGTTTTACAGTTTATTTTATTTGCCAATTTTATTTCAGTAGTCATTATAGTCAGTAGTAGCAGAACAAAAAGAGCAAATAAAATGGTTATTGTTACAATTAATGAAAATAAATTAAATTGAATTGTTACCATAGTTGTGATTCTCGTGCTGATTGTTTAAGTCTGTGTGTGACTTTAGCATATTACTACACACTATTTGAGGATTATATAAACCCAATTAAAAGCATCTCAAAGTTTATATGAAAAACAAAATTTGATAAAGTTGCAAACAAAGTTATAAACGCGCACACACACACAAAAAAAATCACTAATGCTTCAATTAGAAGATAGGTCAACTTCTAAAAGCTACCTATTTATTACTTTTCTTCCCTTGAAATCAAATAACTCTGACTTCATCATGCATTGCTACATCAACAGGAAAAAAATGATAGTAACATAAATTAAGTTCCAAGTGCCCAACCAAAGGGAACGCTAATCACTATAATGTTGAATTAAAAAAAAAAAACACATTTTAGGAAAATCAACATCAATTTATGAAGTTAGCTTATGTGATGTTCTCTCAAATATTTCAGTTGTATTGAGAATTCAACATTCAAGATGACTTTGGGAAACGAGTGAATGCAACTAGTGAATGATAACTGCAGACATGGAGGAAATGGGTGAAAAGTTTATTAAGACTTTATTAAGACTTTTCTTCTTCTTCTGTTGTTATGTTGCACATTAGCAACATATTAGTGCCCTGCTGCCTCTCACTGCTTTATTAATGTCATTGGTTCCTTTGTGGCTACTTGAATATTTTAAGTAAGTGTCACTCAAAACAGTAAGTAAATTGTTTTATTTGCCTTGAAAGTAGCTGTAACTTAATAAAACCTAGTAAGTATAACAACTAAGTAAAGATAACTAATTAAATCTAAGTAAGGTTAACTATTGGATTTTACAGTGTAGATTCGATCTTGACGCTCTCCAATGGCACAGATATGTCACACTTGTCCTGCCGTGGCGAGAGGGGCAGACAAATACCTACTGACAGTTAGACAGATGGTACTGTCTTGTTGCACTCTGCAGTGGGCTGTGTACCTCTTAAGGGCAAAAGGAAGATTATGTCCTGCATGTGTTTAGATGGATAAAGTGCAAGGTGTGAAAAACAGAGAAGTTTGGAGAAAGCTTGAACCACCTCACAAACAAAGTCCAATTAAATTTGTATAATTGTATGTACTGCATACGAAAAGATTTCCACAGCATTCCAATAACATTTCTATAACCAAAAGAGTCCAAACCAAGGAGGTCTATATACCTGTAGGATGTCATTTCATACCCATTTATCTCAATGGCAGTTGCTTGGCTGGCACAGACCTGCCATTGAGTCTATTTTAAAGAGTCATATCCTATAAAATTACCAATGAAATTATGAAGTGTGTAAATATGCGAGGGCAATGATAGTAGAAGTGTTCTCAAGTCCCCCTGGTTTGCTGCTCTCATTAACTCACGAGTGTCACGTGAAATTGTTCTTGTTATGTAACCGTAGGTTTGTTTTTCAGCTCTTTGGCCCTTAGGCCTTTTGCAACCCCTTCTTCTCTCTCTCTACTCCCTTGTTCTCTCTTGCCGTGAACGCAGAGAGCAAAGCAGTGAGCATGAAAAGGGCACACTCAGATCGGCACTCATGTGCAGGAGATGTGGATGGAGTGAAAAAGAGAGAAACCTATCTTCCTTACACTGGTTCCTAATGCACTGAAGAACTGTGTGCTGGTTATGCTGCTGCTATCTGTTGAATTAGTCCGAGGCTGCACATTTCTCACCATTCAAAGAAATCACGTGGGCAGACAATGACTGAATGTGTGTAAAAGTGTTTTAGCATGTGACTCACAGCCTGCATGCTTACTACATGCTAGTGTTTTCTGTAGAATCTATATATATATTCCTACAATAATTGCAGAAAACAAATGTAAAAAGATTCAAATGTCAAATGTGTATCAGCAATGATACAAAATGACACAAAATGGACATTGCTGAAAAC